CTTTAGCTAAATGCATATTTCTTGCTTTTAAAAAGCGTACTAACTTTGTCATTGGCGCTGAAATGGTCTTATTCTGATATAATGTATTGTATAATGTGGCGGTGGCCCCTTTACTGAAATATAGCTCTCCCTCCCAGTATAATCATGCCTAGCGTGTGAGTGTTAAGGTCGCAATAAATTAATAGTTAGAGTTTGATTGATTTTTTTTAAAAAACATGGGAGACGGTAAGCATTTTATTACATTTTATTTTTTCTTATCGAACTTTTGAAGGCATCTGTGTATAACTGTTGTCGAAAGGTGCGATTCACGTGCATCAGGCGTGTTCAGTAGGGCTATGTGTGTGGAGACCCGTGAAGATCCAGGGTAGAATAGGTCTTCAGCAACCCATGCTTTCCGTTAGAGGCGACTATGATTTTTCTTTTCAGTATCTGAGGCCTCGTGGCTCAGAGTGCAATACATTTATATGTAATATATCTGTGGATCTTACACAATTGATATGCAATTATTCCATGATATGTGACGTAATACATAATACATAATTATGTTTCTTTTTTGTGTTTTACACATTTCTCTTCAGTTGCAAAGCAAGACCTTTGATTGTTGAATGTATTCTAGGGGACATTAGTTCAATTAATGTTTTAAGAGAAGGAAGTTTATGGTAATATTGTGGAATGAATGTATTTCTATTTTTGCTTATTATATGAACATCGATGAACATCACTGGATTGTGTGGTCCAGACTCGATTATCTACAGAGCGCCGTCATATAGCTGGAATATTGCTGAGTTAAACAACAAAGAAACAAACAGACTATTATATGAACAGACTAGTACAAAATCTTACTCGTCCTCAACAACTGATTCATCACATAGTATAGCAGCAGCTGATCAACATTTGTTTTCGCATTTTTTTTACTATAATGCAGTATTAATATTTTCAAACTATGAGAAAGAGTGCGGAACTTTCTAATACAGCTAATACACAGATCAAGTCTTTATCTGAAACACCCGATGTGATATACATCTCTGGACCTAGTAATGACTTGTATGAATTAAAATGTGAGCTAGTAATCTTTTAGAACCATTTCTGTATCTCCATGTCTACACATCTCTGTTTAAACATAGTTATGAAACCATTCGTGTTTCCTCAACCCAGTGCAATCCAGACATAAGCAAAACCTGTTTGAAATAACAACATCCTGACATGTGAAACCCAGTTCAAAACCCCCATCGCATCGTGTGACTGTAACATATTATAACAGGCATAGGGGTAACGCTTCGGGTTCATACGAATAAGTCTACACCAAAATTTTAGACACCTGCTAAAATAATTTATACATAGATAATAACTACCAACTTCGCCCAAAACGGCACTTGAAGGTGCTTGTTTTCCCAGTTTCAAAAATCATTTAAAGAATTAACTAATTAACTCTTTCTATAGATACTCTGAATGTAAAGCCCAAATTTCACTACCATAACATAGAATGGGTGCAATTTTGGAATCAAACAAAGCAATAATTGTCGTCAAAGATATATCTGGATAAGTTTGCATAAGTTGAAATAACGGAAAACATGACTTTCTAGCTTGTAATGAAATAGTCTCAAAAGCTTTAGACCAGATTAACCTGGAAGAAAATATAATGCCCAGGTATTTATAATGTGAAGTTGCTGACATTTCCATAGATTTGTTAAACCATTTTTCCACTTTTTTTTTTTAGATAACATCATTTCTGAAAATTTTATTTTTCCATATTTACCTCCATTGCCAATTTTTTGCAAAATAATTCTAATATAACTATTTTTTGCTTTGCATTTCTATCACGGAGTCTGCAAGTAGGACAACTATGCTTGTCGTAAGGGCATCGGGTAACGGGATCGGGTGGTCAGTCTCGCTGACTTGGTTGATGCATATCATAGTTTCCCAATTGTGTGGATCGATGCTCATGATGTCAATCACTAGATTATTTACATCTGGTCCAGACTCGATTATTTACAGACCGCCGTCCGATAGCGGGAATATTGTTGAGTGCGGCGTAAAACAACAAACAAACACAACGTGTTTAGATTATTTCATCAAGTAAAGAAAGTAGGAACACACATATTAGCGATATTTCGATTTCTAGGAACTTGGAGGCAATAGAATAATGTAAGGCGGGATGTTTTGTTGTCAGGCGGGGGAGCGGATGAAAATCTATTAAATTCATTGTAGCCTGATGCTACAAATTGGTCTGAGACCTTTGCTCCAATGAATATGCTAGCCGTGTATAATACCATCTCATGGAGAAACTCACTGGCCTGTGATTATTTCTATAACTGACGGTTGTAAGGTGCAATACTGCCGATGCGGCTTTAAGAAATATTTACTCACTCACTGACGGTGATATATTTGTCCAGTTTCCGGACACTTTAAATTATCACTGTCATTGGACATTCATGCACACAATTTCTTTTGTAAAATTTTATTGAGTATGTTGAGTTTTGAATTTAAAGTACATAGGAAACTGTGACAACGGGAGAGGACTTGTATACGCTTCATATGTCTTCGTGGGAATTGCATAGCATTTTCAAGCTCAAGTCATAATTTTGCTAAATGCTACCAGGAGAGTGAAGATCATGAAAGAAGTATGACCACAGGGCCACAAACGTGCAAATGCGCCTTGGTCTTATGACATTACGCATGCGCACGGACAGCGAGAAAATGAAATGTCGCATTCTTGAGTTGTGGCTCAATTTTCGCGTTGTCGACTTTTGACAAAAAGTGCTATGTAATAAAAACTCAAGAATGCGAGTTCGCGAAAACGCGAGATTTTGGCCAAATCTCGCGTTTTCGCGATCTCGCATTTTCGCACTTTGGGCATATTTATCTCGTTTCCAAAGGTCGAGATCGCGAGAATGTCCCTTCCAGTATTCCACATTTAAACAATGTTTTTCTAATATTATTTTAGATATACATACATTTTGGTAGCTATAACTAATTTTATATGAAAGCTACAAACAAATCCATAATCATAAAAAGAAACGTCTTTTGAAAGCAGAGTTCATTGTACGATTCCGACGGTATCACAAGCATGTGTTTATAAATCACTGCCAAACAGTGATAACACGTGTTTTCTTATCCTGCCCCTAAGGTGGCACCCGTCACAAACACACGCAAAAGCAAGTCAATTGTTCACCTAAACGCTGGAACATGTAGAAAAAAGTAATTGCATCAGCCATCGTGTTTGATACTGTTCTCTACATGTCTACCACTGAAAGCAATACTGATGCCTTGAATGCTGTAACCCCGATCAAACAACCTTGGAGCGAGAGTCGTATAACCCTATTTGAAATCTTCGTGGAAAGAGCATGCTCGATTGTACCTATTAAAGCAAACTTAATGCGAAATGTAGACACCAAAGGTTGGAGCTGGTGAAATATTGCTTTACATTAAAAGGCATGTTGACTACCAGAAAGCTGAAGTCAACCTCTTGTCATACAGTCTCGCTGGTCTTCTTATCCTTATTTCTCATTCTATTACAGCGATACAGTTTAAACTTGTTAACTTTGAAATAATATTCACAATGGAGCTGTATTTTTCTTTATTGAAGCGTGCGTAAAATACCCTTTGGAAAACGGTAACGAAACACCCATCGTACCGGGAAAAAGAAGAAGCAAAAATAACTGGCATTTCGCTGTCATGTGAAACAAGCGCCCTAGAAACATGGATACCCATGGGCGGATACAGCTTTTTTGAAAAAAGGGGGTGCACAATTAAGATCTATTTATTGTCTTTGGCGGGAATTTATACAGAAATAAATATTTTTTTCGAAATAAAAATGGGGGTGCGGGGGTGCGTACCCCCCCTCTGTATCCGCCCATGATACCCCACCACAACACAAAATGTAATGGACAATTCTGAAACTAGACAATAGTAGGGGGTAAGTATTTCATTAGTATCATAGAAACGAGTGTGTCCTTTGTCATTTGTGTTGTGGTTGGTTACCTAACACCGATAGCAATACCGCTGGTGCAGTTAATCAGCGTTCACCAATAAGTGTGACGAGTATGACACACGAAATCGGCCATATCGGAAATCGGAAATCGATGCTCATAATGTCAATCACTTGAATGTCTGGAGTGACTCGATTATTTACAGACAGCCGTCATATAGTTGAAATATTGCTGAGTGCTGCGTAAAACACCAAACAAACAAACAAACAAACAAACAAACGTCGCTATATTAGTGCAATAATTTTGGACGCGTCGTTAAAGCCAATTTTACCTCACCACTTATACGTTTCTAAGTTACAACCTTCTAAAGTCTAAATAATCGAGTCTGGACCAGACAATCCAGTGAGCAATATCATGAGCATCGATCCACGCAATTGGGATCGATGACATGCATCAACCAAGTCAGCGAGCCTGACCACCCGATCCCGTTAGTCGCCTCTTACGACAAGCATAATCGCCTGTTACAGCAAGCATGGGTTGCTGAAGACCTATTCTACCCCAGATCTTCACGGGCCTGTTATTTATGGACACTCATATACTCTTTGAACAGATCTGAATGATAGGTCTGTTCATGGGGGAACATTGAATCTTTTCGACGCCCATAAAGGAAATGCAATTGATATTTTATCACATCCTTGCATGTTCAGATTATCAATACAAATTGTGTTCAAAGTAAAAACACAAGTCTTATTACCAGTACAGCCAGTTCACTCGCAAAAACACACTTGTGAATGCATATATAGTGTTTATAAACTTTTTTGTAAAAGGAAAATATAGTCAGCGTTAAAATGCCATTAATTCTTTTGCGAACATCCGCTGTCATCACCGATTTTCAGGGATCCATTCACATAGTTCTCACCGCCTTTTTGCTTATACGCCCAAGTGGCATAAGCATCTGATAATCGAGACTTGTTATACTCTGGTGTTGACATTATATATTATCGATTTTGATCTATAGGTGGGGGACGACAGGGCGCTGAAAACGCTTGCAAGAATGACACATCTCATTAATCTTAAATTACGATTTTTATTACAGATTAAAAGCTACAAGGCACCATGCAACAAAACCCACTTGAGTGTAGTTCATTTATATGTCGTCAGTACTTAAATTTGCAAAAATAATCAAAAGTAAAACCTGAGCCTGACTTGACTGTATCTCACTTACTGACGAACTATAACATCAGATTCACAGGTAAAAACAAGTGTACGTGTGTCATTCAGGCTCAAGTTTCAAATTATTATAAGTATCAGTTAATTATAATTCTTAAAATATGAAAATGAATACACAGGTGTCCTTGGTTTAATGAATATGACAATTGGACGACAATTTAAGCATTTGGTAATACTGAGGTGCAGGGTTCAAACCCAGCCAGTTACCTAAACTTTTGCAGCTTTTATTATAAATCTACATCCTGGCTCCTGATCACATGTTTAGATCAGGGTTCATGGGTTGTTATGGCAAATGTGAGTTTTGTTTCCCTACACTTATTATGGCTTTTTGTACAAATGATCTAAAACAGAACACATTTGATTTAAGTAATTTTTCTTTTTGCACTTTGGAATTTGAATACTTGTATAATTTGAACGGTGCAGGTTTGTGTTGTATACTTAGTAATTGTTTTGTTTCTCTTTGTGGTTTTTCTCAACCACCTCATCATTATTCAACTATACAGCGTATGTATTCTAATAACGCTACACCGTTACAAGGACACTTGGTTTTGTGCAAACGAAAAACGGGAATAAACGTTTGGTGAGAGTATGAGCAACAGCAAGCTTGATCCAGCTTTGTCCTTGTAAACTGGGTCAACAGCAAGCTTGATCCAGCTTTGTCCTTGTAAACTGGGTCAACAGCAAGCTTGATCCAGCTTTGTCCTTGTAAACTGGGTCAACAGCATCAACATCCTGTCGGATCTGTCATTTTGGGGATTTCCTCTCGGGGCCTCAAGTAAGTGGCCATGTTGAAGAGATCCCGAAACACTTTGTAATTATCACTGTAAAAACATAAATATGTAATGCTTTAGTGGCGAATTCATTCCAGTGTACTCACGCAAATGAGGTAACAGCAAAATGAATGATAAGATGGTGATGATGATGATGATGATGATGATGTTTGTTGTTTTACGCCGCACTCAGCAATATTCCAGCTATGGACGGCGGTCTGTAAATAATCGAATCTGGACCAGACACTCCAGTGATTGACATCATATGCATCGATCTACTCAATTGGGATACGATGACATGCATCAACCAAGTCAGCGAGCCTGACCACCCAATCCCGTTAGTCGCCTCTTACGACAAGCATAGCAAAACGAATGAAGGAGAGGACATGGTTATTTATTTTCATAATTCATTATAATAGAAACTTTAAATATGTGTTTCATGACTTCGTGGTCGTACTTTTATTCTTCGCTGCGATCATTAAACATAGAAGTATGTTTTCTTACTTGTAGGTTGCTCTCAAGTAGTCACAGCCGGAAGTGCCTTTTGTTCCGCCAGTACCCTGCTTCTGTCCAATCATCCTGTGTACCATGTGGATGTGGGTGCCTTAATATAAAGCAAGGAAATGGGAACAGGCAGAGGTGTCAGTTGATCTAGGTATTAATGTTTTTATCTAATCGGGGGGCACGGGTGGCCCAGTCGTCTAAGGCGCCGCGATTCGATGTGCAGAGATGCGTCCCTTGGGCACGCCAGAAACCTATGATTGTGGGTTCGAATCCCGGTTCGCCGCGATTATGTTTCTAGGTTTGTCAGCACCATACCCGTGCTCGTGGGTTTCACCGAAGTGGTAAACGTCTTAGACGTGCATCACTACGGGCTTTTCTCCTAAAAATAAGCTGACACGCCGCGATATAATTGTAATACTGTTAAAAGCGGCGTTAAACCCAACTCACTCACTCACTTTATCTTATCTTATGACATTCTTTAGTATATATGTTGGTACCTACTCCGCCATTTCATGAGGGCGACATCTATGTCCATCAGCAGTGTGATGATCTGGTAGGGCATCTGGAACTCAGGTTTGTCCTGGTGCAGCATGATCAGAAGGGCTCCTTTAAGCGACCGTTGACTCATTTGCCAGGAACCTGTCACAAAACACAGAAGGGTACCAGTTGTTCACAGATACACGTTAACGATCACAGATACCGTTATAATACCTGTATGGCGTCACAATCATGTTGCTGAATAAGTTGAAATAAGTTTTACGCCGCTTTAGCATTATTCCTGTAATATTGGGTTCACACATTGTACCCATGTGGGGAGTCGAACCTGAATCTTCGGCGTGACGAGTAAAAGCTTTAACCACAAGGCTACCCCACCGCCCCGTGTCAGTGAGGACAAAACATGGACATTAAACGAAGTACGTTTACCTGTCTTATACTTCGATTCATCGAGCAGAGGGTCCAGTTCCTCCTGTTGAAAGTGAAATAGAAAAGACAAAGCTTTAGTTTATGTTGGTAGAGAAACATAGGAGCGCTATAATGTTGACATATTGTTCTTATTCGAAAGATAAAAACACATATTTTCTTATTCCTAGAGAATATTTAGACCAACATCAATGTTTACCTTGTTTTGACGGTACTTGCCCCAAAACTTGCTGTCATCTATTCCCGGCGTAGAAGAAAGCCATATCTGCATCGTTAAAAGAATTGTTTTGTTTAAAACGTATTTTCCTCCTTTACATTCTTCATGGAACAGATACAAATAAAGTCATACATCAGAATAACATCGTCGGGAAAATAACATTATACTTATGTAAGTGTTTCACGCAATGTAGTGATCTGCACATAGCACATAGGCCTATTGCAAACTTCATTGGTTAAGCATTGTGTAATAGTTCATATTTTGACAAACCTTTTATATTTGATCTGTAAACAAAAGCCACAACTGTACTGCCCGCCCTGAAAAGAAAAAAATACCCTCACCCCAACAACATCTCGGAGAGTGCCTCCACCATCCTTGTCTGGGTATTCCAGGAGAATCTTCTTATCGTTAGGGTCCATCTTGTCTTGATAGTCTTGATCTTCGTATTTTTCGCGCTTATTCTAGAAACGCAGAAAATTTAAGAAGATATTTTGACAGGATTTAAATCGCCAAACGTAAACTGTATGACAGACGACATGGACGGATGTAGCTATGTATATGTTACACAAAAGGATTTAGATACATTATCGATGGTCACTGTAAAGTTTAGATTTAAAAGCATCATGATCAATCACAGATTTATGTTTGTAGATGATAACGGTTGTATCATACGTCTTTGATTCCAAGAAGCTTCTCGATCTTTCGAAACTGAAGACTCTGGAACCCAGACCCCCCGGTCAGCTCGTCCCTGGAACATAATCACAGCAATACAATAGCTCGTCTCTGGAACATAATCACAGCAATACAATTATAGCTCGTCCCTGGAACATAATCACAGCAATACAATAGCTCGTCTCTGGAACATAATCACAGCAATACAATAGCTCGTCCCTGGAACATAATCACAGCAATACAATAGCTCGTCCCTGGAACATAATCACAGCAATACAATAGCTCGTCCCTGGAACATAATCACAGCAATACAACAGCTCGTCCCTGGAACATAATCACAGCAATACAATAGCTCGTCCCTGGAACATAATCACAGCAATACAATAGCTCTTCTCTGGAACATAATCACAGCAATACAATAGCTCGTCCCTGGAATATAATCACAGCAATACAATAGCTCGTCCCTGGAACATAATCACCGCAATCCAATAGGTCGTCCCTGGAACATAATCACAGCAATACAATAGCTCGTTTCTGGATAAATCACAGCAATACAATTATAGCTCGTCCCTGGAACATAATCACAGCAATACAATAGCTCGTCCCTGGAACATAATCACAGCAATACAATAGCTTGTCCCTGGAACATAATCACAGCAATACAATAGCTCGTCCCTGGAACATAATCACAGCAATACAATAGCTCGTCCCTGGAACATAATCACAGCAATACAATAGCTCGTCCCTGGAACATAATCACAGCAATACAATAGGTCGTCCCTGGAACATAATCACAGCAATACAATAGCTCGTCCCTGGAACATAATCACCGCAATACAATAGGTCGTCCCTGGAACATAATCACAGCAATACAATAGCTCGTCTCTGGAACATAATCACAGCAATACAATTATAGCTCGTCCCTGGAACATAATCACAGCAATACAATAGCTCGTCCCTGGAACATAATCACAGCAATACAATAGCTCGTCCCTGGAACATAATCACAGCAATACAATAGCTCGTCCCTGGAACATAATCACAGCAATACAATAGCTCGTCCCTGGAACATAATCACAGCAATACAATAACTCGTCCCTGGAACATAATCACAGCAATATAATAGCTCGTCCCTGGAACATAATCACAGCAGTATAACAGACGTGTCAGTAATAACATACAAGAGTCGTGTAACTAAGTTACCTGTTCCCTGTTTACAAAAGAACTGTACACTCATAAAATGACATAAAATGGATGTAAGTGATATAAATGACAATACACGGCTGCCCACCTGAAGTCAACGAAATTCAGTGGCGGCATCGTCTCCAGGATATGGAACTGCTCGACAACCAGCTGAAATCATACGAGATAAATGATGAGGATATTGAACATATATTATCAGTATAAGCTCGTACTAGGTAATGTTAGTTTTAGAAATATCGATGTTCGCGTGAAAGGTTCAAACTGAAGCCTCACCTTCAACACCAGCACGACTCTCTGCAGGCGGTTGATTGCTTTGTGTAATGGGATGTTATCCCAGTCCTAAAACAAAGTGTCAGGTTCAGTCATAATGATGATAAAGTTGGGTCAGTTTGTAGTGCACCATAACAAATTCCACGTTCATATATCTGAACATGTATTGAAACAATAATGCCAAAGAGGATGAACATCAAAATTGTATTTCTGGGGTTATTAACACCAGGCGAAAAGTGTGCTTATAGATTGGTGGCTGATGACGGCAGAGCTACAGCGTACCTTGTCATAAAAGAGCATCCTGACAGAATCGACGTCATGAAGAACCTGCTTGAACCATAGCTCGAAGGCTGAAATGAAACATTGGTTACTTAAACCAATTTGCTATTGTAATGGAGAACTGACATGGAAACTTTAGACACATCACATAAATAAGCATAAAATACCACACAGGAGTATTTTTTAAAGATGGAATACAACATTGAACTTTAGTGTATGTAAATTTGTGTATAAAAAAATATACCTTGAGGAAAAGATATGACCGAACATGTAAACTTAAATACCTTGATGGACAATGATGAACAGGTGTTCATCATGAGCCTCTGATATCGGCTCCTGGCACTCCAGTAGGGGTGTGATCTGCCGTATGTAAACAACAAACATGTTAGCGATCAAGAAACGTCCATGTGTAGTGTTATGTACTCTAACACAGTGGAGTTTTGATCAGAATAGCACTTGAGGAATTATGACCATGCTTTATCCCCGCGGAATGTTATTCAACTAAAGTTTAAAATAGATAAGAGGTTCATTTCTTTAGACGAGTGCAAACCTGAAGTTGATTCCTTGTTAAGATAAATGTTTAAATACCATGCAAATCTAATTTCCACTGGGGGCGGTCGTGTAGCCTAGTGGTTAAAACGTTCGCTCGTCACGCCGAAGACCCTGGTTCGATTCCCGACATGGGTACAATGTGTGAAGCCCATTTCTGGTGTCCCCCGCCATGATATTGCTGGACTATTGCTAAAAGCGGCGTTAAACCATACTCACGCACTCACTAATATCTACTGATGCAATGCATGTATTAGCTATGTGAGAACATAGGATAAGGTCACCTTCAAGTAGGAGTCATATGTCAGCTTGGGTTTCTCCGCCATGGCCCTTTCAGTTCAAAACTGTAAGTTAAAGACAAAGACAAAAGAATAAAATAATATAATGTAGTCATTGTAAGAAGAGAAAATTCCCTAATTGCAAACAACTAATTTTTGTTGCTATGAGATTATTTTCTAAACAGTAAAGAAATTTGAAAAAAAATAAATTATTTGTTTAACTTTCGTGACTGAACTGTGGGCCAATCATTGTTACAGCCTGCATTAATATGGAAACTAAACTAACTATAGCGAGGACACCATGCACGGACTGCATCTTTTACATAACGAGCCAGGAAAATGTAATTCATATAGACGTTTACCAGATGTGTCCTGGGTGATCAATGAGGTGAGGTAAGGTGAGGTGAGGTGAGGTGAGGTGAGGTGAGGTGAGGTGAGGTGAAATGGGGTTTAACGTCGCGTCCAAGATTATTGCACGTATATAGCGTGTGTGTGTGTGTGTTTGTGTGAGTGAGTGAGTGAGTGAGTGAGTGAGTGAGTTTTTGGTATGACGCGGCCGGGGTTCAAATCCCGGACCTTCCGCTCTCCGGGTGGACGCTCTGGGTAGATCAATGAACGTCATTAGTATAACGATTCCTATATAGGTAGCATACGGCCAGTACAGGGCAGCGAGCCCTGATAAATCAAATGTAGTCAAATGCATTTGTCAAAGAAGAAGTCATGTGAATGTGGTGACAGAATAGCATGTCAACTGGACTTGGAGATAGTCAACAATATGTCAAGGCCGTAATGGCGGAGATCCAGAACGCCATACAACCTGTTGATCAACAACACAGCAGTCAACATGCTGAACAACACTCATCAGCTTCGGTCACAGAAAACAACAACACTCCGGTGACGCTTCATCCGAGACAAGCAAGAAAGGCGAAACAGCAGATCAGAAAATAGAGGTCGTGCGAGGTATGAGTGATTGCCTTAGATCAGAGAACACGTATATGAACTCTACTATCACCAAACGTATGGATAGTTTGGAGGATAGACTACAACGTTCACTCGCTGATCGTATTGCCGCACTAATTAACAGCAAGTGTAAGGAAGAAGATGACAATGTGAAAAAGGAATTTCAAGCAAATATTAGCCAGTTAGAAAGCAAATTAGCTAAGTTTGAAAAGTCTTATGCAGACTGCATAAAATCAAAAGCTGGGAACAATGATATTTCCTGTCGCCTTATTGTGCTAAAAAAATTGAAATTACATGAAAATGAGGCTACGGAAAAATTGATCCCTGACAATAAGGTGGTGTGAGTTTTTCGAGACGGTCTCAAAATGTCTGACATAAAAGTTGTCTTTGCTGAGAGGAAGAAGAGATCTGTACCCCAGTGTTGTGATCGCCACACTGGACACTGTGCAACGAATGGATAAAGTTTTAAAAGCCAAAGCTAAGCTCAAAGATGTAAACAAGTTGAAGAATGTTTATATCGAACCATGTAAATCCCAAACAGAAATTAAAACATAATGCTAAACGTGGTAAGGCAGGTGGCCTTAATGGTATACCTTTGTGAGGTTCTTAGAAATTCCGCCTGTGTTGATTTACTGTATAGAATCATCAAATATTGTGTTAATAACGGAGTAGTGCCCTCCAAGTGGAACGAAGGTATTGTTAACCCCATCCCTAAATCTGGCATGAGTGATCCCCGTAACCCACTTGAATATCGGGGCATAACCCTTATATCAATTCCAGGCAAGATTTTTGCAGATAAACTTAACACCCGTTTGTTTCATGAGCAATTGGCACAAGGGAAAATTCCAATATATACAAAATATACAATTTGTATATATGGTATATCCAAAAATATACAATTTTGTATATATGGATAGATTTTACCACTGCTTCACTCAGTTTCTTCTTACTGGATTCTCACAATATTTGGTTGATATTGAACATATTACTAATAATACCGGACAGTATTATTGCATCTGACAAATATACTTTTAAACTATGTTCATTATGACAACTATATTTGGAGTGTTATGAAATAATTGGCATTTATTAATGTTGACAGCATTTTACATAATAAAGAAATAGAAGATTTCAGCAGACTTTTGTAACAGTTAGATATATAATACGTCCGCCTACTGTTTACAAATAAGATGATCTATACATACAAGTACTTCAGAGTAGTTTTAAACAGTGACGGTAAAATAAAATAAATTTATCGTGAATAGCGGCAAATATGAATATATACAATGTAATATATATGTTTCTGTTATGTCATGTCATGGTATGTTGATTCTGAATCTAAAATATTGCTTGATATTGTTTGCCAAACAGTTGTATGCACTGTCCATCGTGATACTTCTACTTAAGTATATAAAAAAGGATGTTTGTTTAGACATGCGTTCATTGTAAACAAGGATTAGTGTGACAGGATAACTAAGTTTGTCATCTGGTATAATAGTTTATTATTTATAGAAGAATTGTGTCTTGAACGCAGCATGGCCACATATTTACACTATTCTTTCATGTCATGAGAAAATATATTTCTATATTTCTCGATTTTACACTTTTCCCTTTCCTCTGGACATATAATTATTATTTATTTGTTGTTGCTACTTTTTAATAATGATAAGGATGGTGTAAACGAGTGGATAAATAGAATTTAAAGTCATTAGGAGACGCTCTAGGAAATCTTGCAGGGAAAGCTGCATCTGCACTTCATGGTATATTAAGAAGTATTGTATCCTGGCTCTAGACTTTATTCGCTGAGACTGCTACTTAGATTAGTCAAAACTATGTATCCAAATCATGAATAAACCTGCCGCAATTCCACCTACTCTTAGTGTTGTTTATGATCGATATGTTGTTGATTTTGAGTAACAATATGTGGTGTTTGTTCAATTACTGAACTAGGTTGAGATGTTACTTCTGTGTTTGGCTGAATTACAGCAGATGGCTGTGGTTTGACTATTCCCGTGCTTCGGTGAGTTATTAAGACAGTGTTAATATCTGAATTGATACCTAGTGTTTGTTTATCAGTAGTAATTACAATTTTATTATTATAACCTACCACTTGAACAATCTTAAGTTCCATGTTACTCGGTGTCATATACAGACCTGTCCCAAAAACATAGTCTACTTTACCACCAGCATACTGTAGAGCATCTTGATATGGGTTGTTGGCCGAAGGTGGATCAACAGGTGACGAAATAGCATCCTCTACGTTTCAGCAAACTGCTTTTGTGCAACAAATGCTGCGAATCCACCAATGATGTTTGTACGTGTTTGCGCCTGAGCCCCAACAACAGCCCATACATACGTTCTGACTGAGTCATTAAGTCTTTCAATACCGGGGTGAGTAATAACTTCTGATTTATTTAAAATGAATTCCAAGCATTTTCAGCATCTTGTGGTTGCTCAACCTGTTGAACAGCGAATACAACTCCACCCTCAAAGTTCATATGATCATCTCTCCACTCGTTACTCGAGAGAGCAATGTCCTATCGATGCCAACCACCATTCAATAAACTATTGCTGACTTCTTGAACAGAGCGTGTGCCACTGTATGGGATACCAAGACCATGATTAACCTCATGCAGACGCCAATCTAAATGTGTTGAAATAGCAATTTCACCATACATATGTTCATATGTCCGCTGATTATATTGATTATTTGATGGATTCCATCCTGTGGTAATGGTTGACTTATATCTACAAGGATACGTCTAATCTGAGTATAATATAATAAGGTTTTTTAAACCGATTCAACATATTATTGATGTGAAATTCGTCATTATCAATAAATAGGACAAACTGAATAGGTTATTACAGACAGGTGTTCAAAAGTCCCAATGGTCATGGATACTCGTTATGTGTTTTATGTCATGTTCATGTCGTCATTTATGTCAATTAGGCAGGCACATTCTTGGTATTAATAATCGTGTATATGCTCAAACAGTTTTTGTTTTCACATTGTCAATTCAAATTGAAGGAACATTATCACGGCCCCAAACGCGAACGTTCACTTCTGCCTCAAGTCTGTAAACAGATTCTGGTTCCACTAGGCGGTTACTGTAAAATAACTTGGTTGTGTTATGTACTCCAAGTTGTGGGGAAAACTCATGAAACATATGGTGCATTGCCTAAAAGTCGGGCCGGGCCGGGACGGGCCAAAGTTTTATTGGCTAATTACTTCATTATCGGCCATCATACCTACATATAATTGATGCAAAATACACACATGACATTAATGAACAATCACCAACCAAACACGTGCACCATAATTAAGTAATTCGCAGTAAATCGCTTGAAAACCAGAAAGTGGAGCTGTGTGTGCGTCGCTGATCTAGGTAACATGGAAAAGAGCAATCGTTAAACGAAATATGATTTGACACGTATCAAATACTTCCAGCTATGGTGATACAAATTTCCATCTGTCGGCATAGCGTTTATATTTATAGGATAGTACTATATCTAAGTAAATACCACTTTATAATGTCACTATTCGTCGTATTTAAAGCAGCGGGTTGGTTAAAGTAGACCTCTTCTCCCTATACTCTCAACAGTCACACAAGTGTTCGGTCCGACTTGGCCCGGGCTGTCAAAATCAACTTTAAACTCACATATGTATCATCAAATTGATTCACATCTATAAACTAGTATAATATCTACCAAAATACCACTCTATAGTATCTCAGATTGCTGTACTTAAAGAAAACAAGGGGCTCCAAGTGAAGCCCTTTTCCCTCTACATTCTCAACATAGTCTCTATCAGAAGTGTTTGGCTTGGGTTGGGTCCCACCTGGCCCGGGCTTTCAAAATCAACTGTAAACACACAGATGTATCTTCAAATGTGTTTACATCTATAGATTAGTGTTATATCTACCTATACACCACTTTATAATGTCACGGTAATGCCCGGGCGGTCAAAATCTACTTTAAACACACAGTAGATTTTGACCGCCCGGGCCAAGTCGGACCCAACACAAGCCAAACACTTCTGATAGAGACCATCTCGGCTTGGACACTCGCCCTGGGCAGACTTGTCCTTCCCAGCTCTCACAACTCAT